TGATTGTTATTATTGTAGGATCTACCTTGAGGCGACTGTTGCTGTGATTTGGCGCTGTATAAATAGAACTGCAGCATGTTTGACTCTCCTGCTTCGAAGCAGCTGCTCCTGATTGATCAATACAAACAATGCACTGATTGATTGATTTAAGGAGGAGCAGGTTTAGTGTGCAGGTTTGTTTGCACACTAAACAACACACACACACACACCGTGGCGCTGGCCGTGTGTGTGTGTGCGAGCGCGCGCGTACTCACCGACACCACCACGGTGTCCTCTCCGTTAAATTTCGGGATGTTTTTGTCTCCGCGGCTCCGCTCCGCCTCGTTCAACGGCCTGAAGCGACACATCACCTTCACCCCGCACACGCCACCCTCCGCCGCCTCCATCACCGACAAGAAGCACCGACACGCACGCGGAAACACACACAAACCGGGAGGTTCGGCTCTGGTTCGGGTCCACACGGTCCGCTCAGAGGCTGCGATCTCCGGTTAGTGCTTCTCCATCAGGAGGCTGAAGGCTCCACCTCTCACAGGTCCACCCTGGACCACCGAGCCGCAAAGAACCATGGGACATGAAGTCCTCCTTCACATCCAGCGTGAACATGATTTAGTTCGGGTTAAAGCCAAATGGGTCATATTTGACTCATGACGTTTTAGGCTCTTTAAGACGTCATCGATTAGATTTTTTTCCTGAAAAACAAAATTCATACAAAATAAAACTCATATAAACATTTATACTTTTTTTTATTTGTCAGGGGGGTTTTTAAAATAAGTGAATAGAACAAAGTTTATTAATATAGAAATAAATATGCGATAAGGTGGAACAGTGGTTAGCACTGCTGCCTCATAAGAGGAACAGGATGGAGGTTTGGCCCCCACCTGGGCGGGGCCTTTGTTGTGGAGTGTGCAGGTTCTCTCCAGGTGCTTCTCCCACAGTTGTGTAACACGTGTAGTTAGTGGGGTGATTCTAAATTAGCCATAGGTGTGAATATGAGTGCAAATGGTTGTGTCTCTCTCTCTCTCTCTGTGTGACCCTGTGACAGACCGTACCCGCCTCTTGCCCTATGGAAGCTGGGCTAGCCTCCAGTTCCCGCCCCCGAGACCCTGACGAGGACAAGCAGAAGAGGATTGGTGAATTTTCAGAAGGCTTGAGAAACATTCCCGTTTCAAAAATCAGAATTTTCTGACAACTTCATGATTAGAATAAATAATTAACCCGATAAATAAGAGTATAATCACGGTCATTGATGATCTGATCTCTAGAAGTATTCGGTTACACTCCTGGAGTAACGGTATTAACACCACTGTGTAGAAATACTCAATTAGGACAGTTTTTTACTTTCTAACCATAAATTCAGTATGACACACCCCTGTATCAGCTGTTTTCTGTTTAAAATGGAATAAAGATTACATTATATTTAAGTAGGCAGACCTACGCAGCACATGTTGTTAGCAACATCTGGATGGATGAGAGGACATTTTATTAGAACATATTAAATTTCACAGTAAATTCGTTTTGAGTCCCCAGAAAGGCGTCAATACTCGGTATGCTAAATATGCCGGCAGAATGAGGGTTAACATATATCAACATATAAATTTTAATTCAAATTAAATTTAGTTGGCAAATATCTGAAAACAGAAGAAACACGTGTGTCTGTGATCAGTATATCCACTGATCTACGTTCCACTCGTCATTCGTCTCCAGTTCATCCTCTGACTGAAGGAGGTCGAGCTACATCGCCCACGCGACGCATCAAAACACCTCTAACCTGAGCGTGCTCGGAGATTGAACATGATGTTCCCGTCGTCACCTTGATTACCACTGAGTGATGATCTCAGACTGCTTCAAAACATAAACAATCAGAAGAGCTTGGACGACTGATGACCAATCAGAGGACATGATGATTTTCATAAACAGATCAAACTCTCTTACATCGCAGAGCGTACAACAACAGCATCAATAATAATAATAATAATAATGATAATAATAATGATGACCACACAGTTAAATGTTCTGGTTTCTTCTTCTGCAGCAGAAAATCATTCACTGTTAGGTTTGTGGGATAAACAGGATACAGTGAAGAAATTCACTTCTGAGCCTTTTTCACACCTTGGCTCATGTGATGAGGCACATGGTCAGCAGTGGGTCAAAAAGGTACAACTCCCACTATGGGTTAAATACCTGCGACGCTCCACCATCTGGTTTTAGAACTGAAGAAGCTTCAGTCTGTGAAACATCTTCAGGAATCAGAAATACATCCAGTCGTTTCCTTAGATCACCTTGACCTGGAGGACTGAGAGCCTACAGACACACTTCCTCCTCTTTGATCAAACCCCACAGGCAGTCAGGCTGCTGCTGTCACCACTGCTTTCATTTTGGGGTTTACCGGCAGGGGGGCAGTGTTTCACACAGCACACTAATGCTCTAAAAAGCATTTGAATCACAGTGCAGCTGTTCCTTTATTGCCATTGGCTCAGCACAGGACTTGCAGCACACACACTTCCTGGTATCACCTGGTATCAAACCCCCAACTCTTCACACGTGACCCCTGAGCCAATAAAAGACAAAGCAGTAATCTCAAAAAGTGGATTCTGTTCATCTGGACCTTTCATCATCAGCCAGGTAACGTCTTCAGTCTCAGCTGACTGCAGGTTGCCCACCTTATAAACATGACATTTGTATGATGACTGACACTAGCACCACTGAACAATGGGCTGGGAGGTTAGTTCCTTGAGCTCTTCCGTGTTGTGCCATCCGCTTAGTCAGAGGTTGTTTGGTTTCTCTGATTTTGTTAATAAGGTTGGAAACCTGTAGTCATCTGATGAAAAGTTTCTCCCACTGAAAACGTCCAGATGAACATGTCTGCCCAGATGTTTGCAGCTGTTTGTCCTGGACACAGTACTGCACTTTACGGTTGCTCTCTTCTTTTGTGCAATAAAAATAAAGGTCACATCCATATCTATCGATCGCTGTAGACCGCTCCACCATTCTCGCCCTTCCACACACCAACTGAAATCAGATGATTGTAGCGTAAAGTTAACTGAAGTTTGTAGACCGACTTCACTCTCAGGTGTGTTTGATCCGTCAGGCGTGCAGCTACAGTAACGGCACCTGTGAACTGATGACATCACTCACAGCAGTGATGTCAGAGTGTGATAGTGCCATCAGCTCCATCAGTCCCTGCTGCTCTGTCTGCAGGTGTTTGATGCTCATATACCTGCTGTCAGCACATCTGTCCATGCTTCTGACTCCGCCTCCTAACTGTAACCATGCTTAGAGCTGATTGAGAAAGTCTGGATTACCTGATCGAGTTCCGAACAATGATCACGTGACCTGAGCCTGATGTCGGGATATTTGAAACCAATCAGGAAACCCGATCCTCGATTCGCACAGGGACCTGAACGCAACATGTTCTCATCTGAACAGATTCAGCAGTCAGAAAACAGACGCCCTGAATGCAGCACAGGTTTAGTGATGTGTTCGCTGACATCATCGGCATCATCTGAGATTAAAACAGTCCTGCTGACCTTTGACCTCCAGCTGCTCAGCTTAAGGTGACACCCAAAGAGTTCAGCTGCTAAATAACCAACCAATCAAAGCCTGTCCTGATGATCAAATGACTTCCTGTTTCTCTAAGAGACTCCTAAGTGTGACCCCGCCTACTCAGATGGCAGAAGCATGGTCTCCACAGCATGCACGTCTTATGAAGAACTCAGGATTAGTAAACAATGCTGAGGTCAGAGGTCAGCTTATGTGTCTCTCTCACACACTCTCTCTCTCACACACTCTCTCACACACACAGGAAATTAGTGTTTGAAAATAAAAACACGGCTCTGTTTGTGTTCCTGTAAAACCGATTGATGTTTTTAATTCTCCGATAATCAATACATCTGATCACATGATTGTTTCCTGATGTCCTCACCTGACTCTGACTCAATGAGGCCACATGTAGCAGCTTTACTAGAACTGAGTTTGACCCGAGACGAACCTGAAGGTCAGACCGACCTCTTGGCGGCGAGGACTGAGAGACTAGGTCATCGGAGGTGAAAAGGTTCATGGCAGATGCGATTGTCAGCTCCAGGAGGTGAAAAAAGAGATAAAGTTTGTCTCTGTTCCTGATCAGACTTCCTGCTGATGACCCAATCAGCTGTGCTTACCTGCACGAGCCTGTACACCTGTAGCAGTCACAGGCTTTGTTCTTTTATTCTGACATCTGTACTCTCCATCCTACATGAAGTCTTTTATTTTGGCATCCCCGCCCTGCTCTGATTGATCATAAGCTTGACTCTTTGGGCGGGTAGTCCACGTTGGTCACCATGGTGACGACCGTGACAATCTCCTCGTGGGCTGTGACGCTCGACTGCTGCTGCTGCATCTGCACGACGCGCTCCTCCACGCAGCCCGCTGAAAGCCGCGCCTCCGCCTCATGATCCCAGCACTCCTCCATCGTCTCACAGAGGAGAGCCAGACCCTGCTGGGGGGGCAGAGAGGAGACCTGGATCAGAGGTCAAACATAGCACTTGTTTCTTTATAAACTACACCAGCGGTGAGGTCATCCTGATGCTTCAAACACATGCATCGGCTGTGGGTAATGTGCTGGTGCATTGTGCGTAGTGACTCACGGCGTGCTTCTGCCAGCACTCTCTGATTGTGGGCCTGAGCTTCTTGTAGACGACCACCTCCTGCATGTCCTCCAGAGACGGATGCTGACCCGCCTCCTCCTCATAGGGCAGCAGGTACTCATCTACTGGACCTGAACCACAGAAAACCAGGTGTGCGGATCAGTCAATGATAGTCTTCACTTTGCCCCACACACACACACACACACACACACACACACACACACACACACACACACACAAAAGCAGGTGAAGACGTAAACACAGGACGGCGGCGTTGGCCTCCACCGACCACAACGACATGTTCATGTCAGTTTCCTCACATAACCATTCTTTGTAAGCAGGTCAAACTTTAACAACCAACCAGGCGTGACCCCGGCCACGCCTAGTCCCTGGCCGGGGCTGTTGTTAAATTTTGACGTGCTGACCTGGTGAGTCAGGTGACCTTCTGGCGTTTCATACCATCAGCAGCTTTGCAGCGTGATGCGAGCTCCCACAGCACCAGCCCCACAGCGTACATGTCGATCCTCAGGAAGGAGTCTCTCTGGAAGTTGATGGCGCCCTCCAGGACCTCTGGGGCCATGTACCTCCTGGTCCCCACCTGACACAAACAGGAACCAGATCAGCTGTTTACTGAGGTGATGTGACACAAGTACAAAGAGCAGAGGAGCTGGTGGAGGAGACATGGATAACATCACTGATATCAATAAAGTTTGAACTTGTTACGCAGCACTTATCTGAAGCCCCGCCCCCTCTGACCTCATGGCAGGTCCTCACACATATTTTAAAACTCTGTAATAACACAACAGCATCTAAATGATGTCATTACTGTGGAGATCGAGCTGTGACCGCTAAACAAACACAGCTCATTTAGAGCCAACCTCAAAGCTGCTACTAATATGTAAACGCAGTGAGTTTATCACACCATCCGCTCTGCAGCTTCACCTCCTCAAACCCTCTGATTGGCTGCTCTGCTCTCGTTTCTCTCTTTGGTTCCCCACACTCTGGACACTCTGCTCCGTTCAGCTCCGCCTCCCCTGCTGTGCACAGCTGCAACCAGGCCAGCTCAACATCCCAGCACTAATTATTCTTCTTTTATCAAACATCCTTGAATATTTACCCATCAGCCACCAGATGGAGCTATTTGCTTCTTCCTAACCCAGACTGTCCTCACCTGGACCGTCAGGTGTACCTGGAACTCCATCGTGCATTTGCTAAACACTCTTAGAAATTTCTGTTTCCACTGACTGTTACACTCTCACTGCTGTAATGACAAAGTGTGACAGAGGCGTAGCTCGGGTGGACACACCTGTCCATGAGCGTCACCTGGAGACTTTCCCGCCTCAAACCTGAGAGCGAGGCCAAAGTCGGCGATGCAGGCAGTCAGGTCGGACTTAAGCAGGACATTCTTACTCTTGAAGTCCCTGAAAAACACACAGAGCTGTCAGGCAGGTGTGTGTGTACGCACCTGTGTGTGTGTGTGTGTGTGCCCGTACGCACGTACCTGTGTGCGATGGCGGGTTTGTATGCAGGTATGTCTTCGTGCAGGTAGGCCAGGCCTCGGGACATAGACTGAGCGATCTGACACAGTTCAGACCAGGAGAGAACGTTGGCTTTAAGGTGGTCAGTCAAGGAACCCTGAGAACACGTCATGGAGAACACAGAGTGAAGACTGAGGGTCAGAGGTCAAATTTGTTAGAGTGACTCAGTCTTCTGTCCACACATTCACAAACTGAACCCGCTCCAACTCGTCTACGCTCCACGTTCTTCCAGGTTCTAATGGAGTTTTAGAAGTGTTCTGCAGTTCCACCTCCAGCCTGCGGGGTCACTGTTACCTTGTGATGGTAGGCGGTGACAAGCCACAGCTCCGTTTCCAGCTCGCTGCCTCTCTTCTCAGCGCCGAGGAACTGCAGCAGGTTCTCGTGTCTCATCCCGCTCAGGCTAAAGATCTCAAACTCGTTCTGCCAAGACTGACGCTCCTGAGCACAGGTCAGAGGTCAGAGTAGTCAGGGGCGTGGCCCAACTGTGACCTCACACAGAGGTAATTTCTCAACATGTGCTCTTGTGAGACATCATCAGTTCAAAGGGTTAGGTTGCATTTCATCTGAAAATATGTGTTATTGTAGGATCTACTTTACAATATGAAGCTCCTCGAGGCGACTGGTGTTGTGATTTGGTGCTGAGGAAATAAAACTGAACTGAAACTCAAAAGTGGCCGTGGCGGAGGAGAGCGGCTAAAACTGTGAGTGAAGTTTGAAATGTGCCCGTTTCTGTGACACAAAGTAACTCTTAAGATGTTTCAGGCGAGAATGTAGATACGGATATTTCCAAACATCACCTCCCTCTGGGCGAACGGCCAGTTTGCCTCACCAGGGGTCACCTGACCAAAAGGTCGAGGCTTATTCTCCCTGACTCCTGCCACATCATTTTTAAATCTCCCCAGGCTTTGGCCACTCAGTGGAGGTTAAACATCATGTTTGGCTTATTTCAGTGTTTTAGAGAAAATCTGTTTGATCAAAACTGGATCGTTGTATTTAACTTTCACGTCTCACTGGAGCGCTGTCACTGTGTTTGGAAATGAATATTCCGCTCATCATTATTCCCTCACGCAGATGTGCTCATGTATATGGAGCACAAACATCTGGCGCAGCTGCTCATGAAGACTTCACACAAAGGATCAGATAATGTTTTTAACATTTATTCTGTTTCTACGACAATAGACAAAATTATTCTCACATCTGACCCGTTTGTTGTTGTTGTTAAATGAGCAGTGTGAGCTGTGCGTACATGTTTGTGTTTCAGTCATGTGACTGTTGGTGCTCAGCTGTATGAAGGTCATCAGTGTGTGGATGTTAGAAGAGCCGTGAAGACCAACACTCTGATGCTCCTCTCATAGCCAAGCGTTTTGCCAAAGTGCTTGGAAGCACTTGCGTAGTAAATGGGCTACTTGTATTATCAATATTAATCACACTAAGATTAACGGCACACACACTGACCTGGCCAGGGAAGATCTTGACGGCGACGTGTTCACTGAGCAGCTGAGCCTTCCACACGCAGCCAAAGCGCCCCCTGGCTTTCAGCTCCAGCAACTGCAGAGGCTTCTGTCCCAGGACAGGGGAGGGGGGCAGGGGGCCGGTCTCCTGGGGGGGACAGGTGGAGATCAGAGACAGAGGATACAGGAAAATAAAGAACATCTTGTCAGGGCTGTCAGGCCACACCCACATGGACATGTGTACATTAAAAACAGTGACAGAACCATGAGAGTGGGCTGGCCTAAAGATGGGCGGTGTGGCGTGCTGACACAGTCATGCAGGGCAAGGAAGGAGCGGGACGTGCAGACATCATGTGACACAAAACATAAAGGTGTTCAGAGACCCAAAGTGGGAGAACACAAGGCGGGTGGTGACAGAGCACGCTCAGTGGGTCTCCTTACCTCGACCATGATGTGAAAGGCGTGCTGAGAGGCAAAGAAACAGCTCAGAGTCACACAGACAGGAAGAGGTGGAGCTAACTCACAGCCTCCCTCTGAAACATCAGCATTGCCTCACTACTCCAGCTATGTGTCACCGCCTCCTCGTGTCTTAGCCCCTCCCACCCCAGAGGTGAAGGCACAGGTTTTTAACAAAAAGAGCATCCATGTCACATGACACAGTCACGTGACAGAGTTGATGATGCTGTTAAAAACTACAACAAACACCAGCTCTGTGTACTGTTACCGTGGAAACAGTGCTTTTCCTGATCACCCTGCGAGTGCTTCAGGTCTTTTATTTTGAACGTCAACCTGACGGTGTTCCTGACTTCCTGATTGGACTAAGCAGCAGGAACGTGTCAGGACAAACACCTGATCAGTACACCTGGCTTCAGTGTTTACCTGGAACGAGTTTGTTCACTTGCTGCTGGGACTTCCTGTACAACAGACAGCTGATTAAAGCTGTTATGAAGCATTTATTGTAAACGTTTGTTCTTCATTTTTTAAACTCAGAGTCACCTGACTGTCACATGACCCACTCCTCACAGGAGGTCTCACCTGTGTGGGCACCAGCACAGGTGGGTAGGCCAGTTTGTGGTGTCGGTACATCCAAAAGGACAGCAGGACGATGGTGGCAACGGCCATGATGGGGAGCAGCGAATACATCAGCGCGGTGACCACCGGGGGTCGCAGTGTGAGTGGGATATTTGTCGCTATGGAAACACACACGGAAAAGAGGTTACAACATGAAGTACAGGAGGCTTTTCACTATAAGGTTCCGTTTTAACATCAAAGACTTTCAGAATAAGGTGCGAGATGAGCAGGTACGTACGGGGCAGCGGCGGCGTGTGGTTGCTGTTGGGCAGGTAGAAGAACTTCTGGTTGCACAGACTTCCCTCACAGCAGCAGAAAAAGACGTCAGGGGACTCCTTCCTCTCGACACACTCCCACCTATCAGGAAACAGCACAGATGAGCTGATGCACAGGTGAGGTCACCACACTCAAGTAACCCCCCCCCACCACCACCAATTGATGTGTCTCCTCCTCCTCACACGCACTAATGTCTTTCAGCTTTATCACTGAACTCTCAAGTGACCTCACACATGACCTCACACAGGTGAGCAACAGTGATAGAAATGTTATCACACAGGTGAGCTTTTACAGCACCTCTCAGTTCACATATGAAACCTGATCAATTGCTCTGATTGATACATGGGGTGACTGGTGACAGGTAATGGTAAATGGACTGGTTTTTATATAGCGCTTTTCTACTCTCAGCACTCAAAGCGCTTTATACAACTCGCTCATTCACCCATTCACACAAACACTTTTCTAAGTTCTTAGTGCTATCTAACTAACTCATACATACACGGAGTGTGTGAGTGTGAGCTAACTCTTCTTCTCCTGAAATCACTCTGGTCCTCCGAGTGAACCTACAGCAACACGTAGGCAAACCAATTCAACTACAGGTAGACATACGCCTGAACACACCTGCCCTGAGGGGACTTATAAAATCACCACTCTGTACTCGAACAAAGTCAGGTTCAGGTCTGGGAGCATCATCAATCAATAAACCGATCAGGTCTAAACTCTGCTATCATCCTGTTGAACCACAGAGATGCTCCTTTACTTCCTGTTGTTACCTGAGCATGACCTCTCTGGCCCCACCTACCTGTCATAGCAGCTAGGGTCGTCAAGCCAGCAGCCCTGTTTGACCACGGTCACCTGACCAGAGGTGTTCCTCCAGGTGGCGAAGCAGTGCTGCCGCTTATCCTTCTGCCCGGAGCAGATCTCCACGCCGCTGATGTTCCCTCGGCCCTCCACTGAGGAGGAGGAGGAGGAGCTGTAGCTGTACAGCACACAGGTCTGAGTCTGAGTGTGGCCCAGGATTGCACCTGAGGAGGCAGAGGAAGCATACAGCATCGTAAGAGTGACTGAAACAGGTACACATCAGCTGTTTCCTGTCAGCTCAAGAGCTAATCAATAACTGACCAATATCCGATCAGCAGGTTTTCTGCAGGAGGTCTGAGGTGACCTGTGGTTGAAGATCACCTATATATGATATACACCATTGAAATAAAGCTGCTGGATAGCTGCCCTGGGGCGTTTCAGTGAGTATACAGCATCACTGACACACAGCTGACTGCTCGAGCCTATCTTAGCTCTGAGCCTGGATTAGGATCAAAGCAGCTCAGAGTTATTTACTGGGGCTTGTTTCCTGTGACATCAGAATTACACTCTGGTTTCTAATCGATTGTGTTTGTGGTGATGATGTTAGAGCCAGGTGTGCTCACCTGAGGAGCAGGTGATTAGGAGGACGCTGAAGGCCAGCCTGGTGGCGGATCCCATGGTGCTGCTCAGATAAATCCTAGTTTCAATCCTAATCCGGGATTACGCCCCCTCTGACAACAGGACTCCGGGCACCGGAACCATGTCCTAGTCCAAGCAGCGGTTGCGGTCCGTTCACCGGGACGCCCCGTGAGAGCACTCGGGAAGAGGGTCCCAGGAGCTGGGCAGGCCCTGAGACATGGTGCGCTGTCAGGAGATCCGGACCTGAGGACCAGTACAGGCTGCTCGCCGGGTTGGAGCGGTGCTGTAAAGGTTTATGCTGCAGAAATCGGTTTATCGACGAACTGACAGGTTATCAATCAGAAGATTGATCTGGATTAACTCCATCAGCGAACCTCCGGCCATGAAGCACAGTTCACCTTCTACCCCTGCACCATTCTCCACGAATCCTCAGCCGTGCTGTGACCCTGGATCAAACTCACCTCCCCGCAGAGAGCCGGGCGGAGGTGTAGCCTCAGCCCGCCTCTGATTATCACTGCTCGGTCACACGGATGCTAGCTGGCCCGGCTACCCTTTAGCTTAGCTCCGAGGAGGAAAACCTCAAACCGCATCCGCGTCCCGTCTGTTCGCTCAGCGGGAGGAAGCGCCGTGTGAACGATCGCGGACTGGCTCACAGCGTACAGCCGACCTGTACGCCTCCCCCTCACCTCGTCTCCGTATTACTTCCACTCCACACTCTGAGGCCGACAGCAGGAGGAAGATGGCGGCTACGCTGCGATCAGTTTGTTTTTTTCACAGTCTTCCAAAGTCACCTGTCACAGCGTACACGATCATCTGACGGGCACCTGCAAAAACCAATAGGATGCCTAGAACAATCCGGAGCCCCATTTATTCACCAATGATTAGCCGTGTTTGTGTGTAGAGCCCATGGAATGAGGGAAAAGCC